ACTAATTACCTAATTTGCATGATAATTAGCTGTTCCATGACTGTTCCACTGATATCTAAAAGAACCACTCATTGGATTTTGATGAAACTCGGCACATAGATGCTCCAAACTAATGCGCAGATTTGATTAGTTTTGGGTAAAAATCTGTGCAATATTAATTACCTAATTTGCATAATTATTACTAGTAATCAATTTTCGGCTTTTCCACTGATACAAAATGTATCTCAAGTACTAATCATCACATTTCAATAAAACTTGGTACATAGATGTCATAGGACACTGCAAAAACCTGATAGTTTTTAGGGTAATATCAGTACATATTAATTACCTAATTTGCATAATTAATTAATTTCAGCTTTTTAATTCTTTGCTATGTCTTAAACCGCAGGGGTCGCCACGCAACACACGTTTGAATTTGATGTAAATAAACAATCTGTTGTATATGCACTTGGGACTCAAGTTTCAAGGACACGCTCATGACACTTTAATATGACGATCACAGAACTTTCAAAAATTTAACGGGAAATGTGTAATTTTCAATGACTTGTAAATATGTGGTTCTGGAGCCGTATTTCTAATGTGATTTGACTGATTATGTTTTAATTTTATATATTCACTATACATCATGTTATAGATATACAGATGTATTCAAAATGGCCAACCAATTTTGTTAGTCACCATTCGAAATCTGAAAACAGGGACTATTAATTTGGGTTTCGTGTGTCGGACACCCTTTGACCTATTTAGTTCAAACTTGGTATACAGATAATGTATGATGACCTCCATATGCATGTCAATGGTTATGATTCGATTAAATATGACTGACTGGCAGCCATTTTGTCCATCAAATTTGCTAAATATTTAAACTGGTCCGGAACTGTTTCTCGGAGCTGAACATGTATGTTGATCATGCATATTGGGTTATAGGTGCAAGTCACTTTTTTTTTTGAGATTCGGCCCAAGATGGTCAACTGGCAGTCATTTTGGTTTTTTTTGGTGTCGTGCTGATTCCTCCATAAGATATGACCTGATTCAGTTCAAAGTTTGTACATACACTTCAAGATAACACCACGTTTGTTTTGAGATTTGATCAAATTTTTCGAAATGGCGGCCATTTTGTTTAATATCTTAAAAGCAGTCTGTAACGTGTCTGGAACTGTTTCTCAGGACTGAATAGAGCGATTTCAATCAAACTTTGTATGATGATCATGTATATTGGGTTACACGTGCACATCATATTTGTTTAAAAATTTGGACCAAAATGGATGACTGGCAGCCATTTTGTTTTGTTTTTCCTTTTTTGTGCCAAATCCTCTAAAAGATATGGCCTGATTCACTTGAAAGTTTGTACATAGCTACTATACTGCAAGGTAACACAACAACACGTTTTGCCTTGAGATTTGTTTTCAAATCTGTCGAAATGATGGCCATTTTGTAAAAAAAAAAAAACATAAAATATCATTCTGTAACATGTCCGGAACTGCTTCTTGGAGCTGAACAGAACGATATGGCCTGATTAAGTTCAAAGTTGAATAGGGCATTTTCAATCAAACTTTGTATGATGACTTTACATATTAGGTTACGGTACAAGCCATATTTCTTCAGTTCAAAGTTTCCACGTAGGTACTATACTGACAGTAACACAATCTATAATCTGTGTTAGTGTTAAAAAAACATTGATCTTTCATTTCTACATGTCACTTATAATGAACATTTACATCGACTACAGCTAATACATAACGGGGACTATGTATTATCAATGCTTGTTTTAATTAATGTTGTTCCAGAGCAATATCTCCCAATATGGAAAAGTACTCATTTGACGACCAGAAACGAGATGACTGAATGTCATTTATTTCAATGTTAAAAAAAATCATTATAATCAAACATCAGTTTTTGAATCCATATATAATACTACCATATAAACAGAACTATATATCTTAAGTTTGATAACTAACAGGGTCTGTGCCATGCATAGCTTGTTTTGGACAAATTTTGTTTATTCAAAAGATAAAATCCTGCTTAGGTTTAAGAATTATAGCTTTGTGATACTTGAAGCACCATCTGCCAAGAGGAAGAGGCTAAAGTGACTTGAATTATCAGCTGAATTAATGTGTTAATTCTCAAGTTAACACATGAACTTTAATGCATCACATACATTCTGTTTTATTTCACTGCACTTGTCCCATCCTATGCTGACTGGTATTCACAATGTGTTACTGGCTATCTAGACTTTTAGACATTGGTTTGTGTTGATTGCTTCCCCCTTTTTTCCCCATAATGGCTAAAACACACAAATCTGATTGTGGAAAGGCAGAAAAAAATGACACTATAGATCTCAGAATAAATTTATTTTTGTTTACTAATTGTTTACTAATTTCCAAATGCGATTAAGTTGTCCATTTCAGATAGTCACGAAAATACACAACACTCAATAGATATGTTTGAACACTGTCACTGATCAAATTCAAGTACCGGTACTCATCACCATAAACAATGGTAGCTGAACCATATATAAGCATGTGATGAAGTTCACTGGTTGCCACACGCCAAAATCCAGAAATTCTACAGCACACAAGACTACTTGATTGGTATTATAACTGAGCAAAAATTTGTATAACAGGCAATTCTGATCACATACAACTGACATGACATGCTAATGTGAACTCTGATCACACACAACTGACATGACATGCTAATGTGAACCCTGATCACACACAACTGACATGACATGCTATTATGAACCCTGATCACACACAACTGACATGACATGCTATTATGAACCCTGATCACACACAACTGACATGACATGCTATTATGAACTCTGATCACACACAACTGACATGACATGCTAATGTGAACCCTGATCACATACAACTGACATGACATGCTATTATGAACCCTGATCACACACAACTGACATGACATGCTATTATGAACCCTGATCACACACAACTGACATGACATGCTATTA